AGGTACTCGGTGGTGTCGCTTGTCACATAGGTAATTTGCGGGGAATGAATTATCTCAGATACATCACGATAAAACAAGTAGTGAGTGAGTGAGTATGGTTTTACGCCGTTTTTAGCAATATTCCAGCAATATCACGGCGGGGGACACCAGAAATGGGCTTCACACATTGTACCCATGTCGGGAATCGAACCCCGGTCTTCGGCGTGAAGAGCGAACGCTTTAACCACGAGGCTACCAGACCGCTCCGTAAAATAAGTGGGTGTAGCGGGGCAGAGTACGCCCCAGTGCCCCATGCTTGATATAGTTGACTATAACAGGTGGTTGATGTATGACTAACAGACTGCATGTAATCGTACTTCACAGCGTGGCTTGTTGTTCATGCTATCGACCACTGGCTTGCATGATCTTGATTTGAGTTCATGTAATAAATAGCTTTCATTTTTTTTAACAGCGACGTTAAGAAAACTTTACTCACAATATCGGTGTAACTGGACGAGGTATAGGCATATAGCTAACACTGTCAGCATTGTTAAATGGTGGCTTAAGGTGCCGTGAAACGTTGTGTAGAGTTGCGTCCCTTAGCTGTGACAGGATTCGCAGGTCATGAGCTCGAATCCGAAATTCATGGTCTGTTACGGATTCACCGGAGAGAATCAACGCATTCTCAGGATTATTCCTTTACAGATAAATAAATAAATAAATAAATAAATAAATAAATAAAGAGGCAACCTGTAAATCGTGTCTTGGCCAGGCAAACTAGTAATTGATAGTTCAAACAACCATCAACGCAGTTGATGGCGCTAACTCAGCCAGGTCTCACACTGTACCAGCCCGATCTTCCTATTAGTTTGCTCTTACGGCACGTATGGGTACTGATCGGTACTGGTGACAAGGGTCCCGCTTCACCTAGCAATCTAAGCGCTAAGCTGATCGTAACTCTCATACCCAGACTAACGCTAAGTCTCTGAATATATTTTTTTTTTTACAGAAACAAATAGCTCCATTTAAATTGAAAAGTAGCCCGAGTGAGACGGGAGATTTAGACTTGTTTCATTTAGGCCCTTTGCATTACGGAAAGGGCTGGACGGAAGAGAAATAATATGGTTCAGGGACTGTGAGACAGATACTGTAAAATGGGACTCAATTCTGTCCCGGGTAGCCCTACGGAGAAAACCCTTTAACAGAGCAGCAGGGGATCGTTAAAACAGACAGGAAAAGAGCAGGTAGATCCAGGGTAACTACTCCCAATGAAAACCGGTACTTGCGTACTTTGCATCTCCGGAATCTCCGGAATGATTAGTCGACAGAGCGGACAGACTTGGGGCTCAAGGATTTGGGGCTTACAGGCTTTACCGGGGATAGTTATTGACAGCGCAACATTGTCGTCAGAGATTAAGATGTACGGCGTTGGCAGCGGCGTGACTGGCAGAGGGTAGTCCAGGCTAACATCTAGTCTGATAGGCCTGATACAGCAGTAATCTAGACTTGCTAAATAGTATAGAACTGCATGGGCTGTATTAGATATATTTGTTTCAGGGTCTGCTATTAATGTAACGTGTCATTGAACTTGAGCAATTTTAGATGTCTCTGCCCTTTGTCCATTACGAAAGTTTATTTTTGTTACCGGAACTCAATATTGGCAAGTGTCATACCAATATCGGATGCTGTATGACTGTCATTTAAAATCCTGATTTCGTTGAGATTTGATATTTTCAATACATTTTACTTCCTGCATCTATCTTTTGTGGCTTTCAAAATACAGTGAATTTTGGCCGTCAGTTTATGTATAAACCTTTACACGAGTCTCTTTGTTTCATTTGTTCTGGACAAAATATATCATATTTATTGAATCAATATTTCATAATTGTGATATCGTCACGAACATGTGTGCCAGCTGGCTCAGTAAGACACGGAAACAGAATAATATATCACCAGATGGCAATTACATTGTGGTCCCGATGTACGATCAAACATATTCTGAAACAACGTATGAATTGCTGGGTAAAAGAAACTGTACACCTATGTTGATGAAACAAAACCCTTCGATGGTGATGTATTTGATACGACTACCACAGGCGATATAACATGCACAGGCGGATCACCTTTTGAAAACCAAATGTAGTATGTTGTAGACAGTAACATAATCTGTGAGAGGATTTTGATATTTTGGACCCCTCCCTTTTAAATATGCTGGATCCGCCCTTGACATGCAGTATGTGCACAATATCAATAAGTATCTCACAGCAGGTCAGCCTAGTAACGTTTTGATAACGTTTGTAATTTTCAGACCAAATCCAATTTTCAAGTGTACACTTCTTTCGCTCGGAATTTTATATGAGATCTGTTTTTGTTAAAAGATTATAACAAAAAGAATTGAAAACGAAGGCATCGTAAATATATAATATTCATGCAGTGATATCGGAAAATATTCCAAAACGATTCACGACATATAGCAGTCACGTTCAATATCACATGGATAGCCCTCACACGCAAATGCACTTAGCCAATCAGCTTGTCGGTGTCATTGCCATTGCTAATGTTAATATCGCTGTATATTAATTCCCTTCGCTATAACGCTATTCATCGGATGATTTGATTGTGACTCTTTCTTTAGGGCATGTCAATGGCATCTGGGCATATGGCCATGTCTCGGCAGCCGTGCTTAACATGACCGTGGTAAGCGATACTCATGTGGTTTATTTCTTTCTAATGCGCATTGCTAATTCCTTTGCCAGACATTAATGTCACGAGGCTGCGTTCGTCGAAATTAACACGACAAACGATATACATCGTAAATCGAGGCATACATTCAGTATTGTAAGCGTTAATCACGACAGTAAAGGGTTCCGCTGCTGTGCCATAATTTGATCAACCATCGGTCAAAATAAATACGGCTTTAAATATTTCAGAATAATCTCGGCGTTAATGTCTGGCCTAAAACAGGTGTTTTGTTTGTTTGTTGTTTAACGCCGCACACAGCAATATTCCAGCTATATGACGGCGGTCTGTAAAATGATCGAGTCTGGACCAGACAATCCAGTGATTGACATCATGAGCATCGATCCACGCAATTGGGATCGATGACATGTATCAGCTTGCCTGACCACCCGATCCCGTTAGTCGCCTTTTACGACAAGCATAGTCGCCTTTTACGGCAAATATGGGTTGCTGAAGACCTATTCTACCCCGGAATCTTCATGGGGCCCTAAAATAGGTGTAACTGTTGCACTGGGACGTACACGAAGGGAACACAAACATGATCATACAGCCACGCTACTCGAAGTTTGCGTGTCAGGTGCCTGAAAATTGAATTAAAAAGAACTTGCATTCCATTCCAATCCTGCGTTCCATTCTACTCACTGTCATGTCAGGATTCAGGATATGCCCGGTATGATTCTGGGATATGCCCGGTATGATTCTGGGATATGCCCGGTAAACGAGGCTTATTGTACATTGTTGCACTGTATGACCTGCTGGACTGGTCGTGGATGATGTCATGCTACCAACCACTGGTTTGTCTGGCATTGGCTCCAGTGTTACAGCTGTGCAGTGGAACACGTCATTTTCTGCTTGGACTCTAGTAGGTTGGGACATGCATTCCACACCACACAGTATTTGTTAAAACAACGAACCAACATTAACAGGGTGAAGTGAAGTTAAATCGTGTATAACGTCACGTTCAAAATTATTGCACTTCTACAGCAACAGGCATGTACGTGTGTGTGTGCGTGTGTGTCTGCTTGTATTAGTTCTGATTAATGCCGGGGGCACGGGTGGCCCAGTCGTCTAAGGCGCCACGATTCGCTGTGCAGAATTGCGTCCCTTGGGCACGCCAGAAACCTATGATTGAGGGTTCGAATCCCGGTTCGCCCAGATTATGTTTCTAGGTTTGTCAGCACGATACCCGTGCTCGTGGCTTTCACCGAAGTGGTAAACGTCTGAGACCTGCATCACTTCGGGCTTTCCTCTCACTTTAAGCTGACACGCCGTGATATAACTGGAATACTGTTAAAAGCGGCGTTAAACCCAAATCACTCACTCACTCACTCTGATTATTGCCGGTTTTATAAATCCTGTCGACCGATATACCATGCCGCAATTTCAACATGGATACCCAACTCACACACAGTATACTGACTTGGTTAATGCATGTCATCGTAACCCCTTTGCGTAGATCGATGCTCATGATATCAATCAGTGGATTGTCTGGTCCAGACTTGATTATTTACAGACCGCCGTCATGTAGCTGGAATATAGTTGAGTACGGCGTTTAACAACAACCAACAAACAAAACTTGTTCCATGAGAAAACTGACATCGAAGTAGTCTAAGACTGAACTCAGTATCTCCCCAACTACCATCCACATTTATAGTAAATGCATGCAAATGATGCATGTTGCATGTTACACCAACATACCAGGATTTTTACTTATCGACCGCTTGACATGGGCGATATAGCTGACTGTGCTCAATGTCCTTTATCTATTCACAACTGGTGATTTGGCTGCACGCTGAGGACACTAGATTCTGCTAATGTCAGGGCCGATCTAACAGACATTCCTCGCGGAAGGTCGATCTCAAATATATAATTAAGTACGCAGCACTTTACTAATAGTTGTTCATGCCATTTCCAACACACTAACTACATAATAATAAATGTCATACTATTGAGATTAATAACTCCAGAGCACTCGGCCATCTCCGAGTATGAACAAAATATTTTGTGAAGGTAAAATATTTCATGCGATGAACATCGCTGGTATGTAATAAATTGTTGGGAATTGAATCAAACTCACCCACCATGACGTTCCACTATATTATTCACATGGAATGTTTTTAAAGTGTGTTATTTACAATCATGTGATTCTGAAAGCATCGTACGAAGTGACTCATCAACGTTTTCACCTACAACGAACTGCGAGGACATGTGTTGCCTTTATTGGAGGACAAACTTCACACAAAGTTACCTTTATTTTCGCTTCGTACAATTATCATGCCATTATGACGAACGGCCTCATACACTTCAGTGCACAAGTGCGAGGTAAATGGTCGTCTGCTCTCCCGACCTCGCTGACCCGCATCAGCGCCCCCTCCCGGCGAAATTACGAGCGCCATTGTATTGGAGAGAGGTATGCGGGTGGTTGTGTTTGCAGTTGAGTGAGAGTCAGCGACGGTATCCCCGAATTCTCACGGTCGGGATGTACCCCGCTCTTCATATGCAAATGTAAGGGAAATACCACCCTCTGCAACATTTGCGATTCAAGGTGACAAACATGAGCGGTTTATATTTCAGTTGTGGGCACAGCTGGATGCGAGCATGCACTTTTAGGAGCAGAAATTTGTAACATTAAATAACGCAGATGGTTGAAATTTCAACAGTATCTGTATTAGTGAGTGATTAATATTTTATGCATATGTTTTTAGTTTGCAATCATGACGGAAGGCAAATAAACGACATGGGATTCAAACAAGTTTTATTTTAGGTGAGGCGATCGAATGCATTAGTTTACCCGTGAAGATTCGGGTAGAACAGGTCTTCAGCAACCCATGCTGCCGTTAAGGCGACTATGCTTGTCGTAAGAGACGACTAAAGGGATCGGGTAGTCAGGCTTGCTGACTTGGTTGATGAATGTCATCATATCCCAATTGCGTGGATCGATGCTCATGGTGTCAATCACTGGATTGTCTGGTCCAGACTCAATTATTTACAGACCACCGTCATATAGCTGGAATATTGCTGAGTGCGGCGTTAAACAACAAACAGACAACAGAATGCATTTTTTTAGTTTCTATCCCCATCACGTAGACTATATTTTTCAATGATATTATATGCATACATATGTCAAGGTAGTAGAAATATAGATAGTGCCTATATTAAATATATATTTAAGATCGCCTAACATTGACATGTTGTTTTCTGCACTAGAGCATGGTAATCAATTTATATTCACACAGCCGCATACCGGCTGATAGGTATGAAGTATACTGTCGAGTCGGCATACTGTGTCTGAGTGGGGTATCCATGTTAAACTGCGGCGTGGTATCACAGTTGGCTAGCACTATAAACCGGCTTTTGTCGGGCCCAGAACTAGCACACACACACACACACACACACGCACACGCACACGCACACGCACACGCACGCATGTCGCTATATAAGTGCAATCATCTTAAATGGGACCTCAAACCACATTTCATCTCACCACCTCTTAAGCTCTCGCATAACGCACCATCCATACAGGTGGGTGGCCATAGTCTGTTGTGACCTGTCATCGAAACTGACGTCGTACCCCGATCGCGTAGATCGATGGTCACACTATCGATCACTGATGTGTCTGTTCCAGACCTGACCACACTAACACGCCGCGTCGATTCAGCTAGGGCATCGCTCACTGTGACATCAAAGACCAATCAATTTGACATCACTGGCTCTCAAGCCTTAGGGGGCACGGGTGGCCCAGTCGTCTAAGGCGCCGCGATTCGCTGTGCAGAGTTGCGTCCTTTGGGCACGCCAGAAACCTATGATCGTGGGTTCGAATCCCGGTTCGCCCCGATTATGTTTCTAGGTTTGTCAGCACCATACCCGTGCTCGTGGGTTCCACCGAAGTGGTAAACGTCTGACACCTGCATCACTTAGGGCTTTCCTCCCACATTAAGCTGACACGCCGTGATATAACTGGAATACTGTTAAAAGCGGCGTTAAACCCAACTAACTCACTCACTCACTCAAGCCTTAGATTCTACAGAAACATGACTACAATCTTGATAAGCATTCAAATTCATTTTTGTAACATTGGTTACCAAAGTTGAGGAACATGCCTTTCCATTCAGTTTGACATTTCAGAAGCAGTTCTGGCTAAAAATAAAACAACTGTACCGCAGAGGTTATATTGAAATGATATACTGCAGGCCTACCGAAGAAAACCAGCAGAGAGCTACCAAATAATGAAATATGTTACGGGTACACACTTTAAATAGAAACCGTCACACAAATTAGAAAGGAGACACAAAAGTTTGCATCGAAAAGATAAGAGTGTGAGTGAGTGAGTGAGTTTGATTTTACGCTGCTTTTAGCAATATTCCAACAATATCACGGCGGGGGACACCAGAAATGGTCTTCACATCATCATGATAAGAACCCGGCATATTGTCAGTGGCACCAAACACGGTCGATGCAAACATTGTAGCGACCTTTACGACTTTTAGTGCAACCCACGGGTATGGTTCTGCCAAACCTAAACTCAGGGCGAGAATCAGGCCCCAGTGCATAGGGTCCTGGCACGCCTAAGGGACCTAACTCTGCATACAGAGTTTGGATAATAAGTACACATTGATTTTGAAGCAGGAGTCATTTGTTGTTTGACGTCACCCTCAGCAATATTCCAGTGGTATTACGGTGAGTTGCTGAATCAAGTGTGCACCAGACAAACCGGTGATGGACATTATGAGCAACGCCCATCGTTGTCGATACGATGACACACAGTCAACCAAGCCACCGCGTCTGACCGCTGATCAAAACACAGGGTGCGGGGGACCTATATTGTTACATGAATTAACACTGGATGCTGGATTTACAAGGCTAGCTATCACACCAAGTATTTATGTTTGGAATCGAACCCAGACTACTGAGCGTTTAGTAAAACCATGTACTACAAGGCGTGAGCGAATGGTGTTATACGCCAGTCTCCAATATCTCGGCTACATTTCAGCTGCTTGTAAAATAACCGAACATTGCGCCAGGCGAACAAGTGGTTAAAAGTATGTGCGATCTGAACTTTCGGGATAGGTAGATCACATGAAATCAGCAAGACAGCACATTATAACAATCGGATTCTCATTTAAGCCGGGGTTTAAGACCTGCAGTGTGTATTGTGCAGTCTGTCTCCTAGACCGTAGAGAAAAAATAAAAAGGTGTCAAACTCAAGTCTAGAATGATTTGGCAAGTCTAGATGGCCTCAGTTCTAGGGTTTGTCCAAATCTTCAGGGCTGCAGATTTGGATAGTCCCAGAAATTAAGGATTGTTCTGGGCTCCATTTGGATTTTATTATTTTTATTTTGTAGATATATATTTTTAAATAAGATAACTTTATTTCTGGGACTAAGTGTCAGTCTAAGTATTGTAGACCAACATGTCCCGGTATCCTTATGTTTTTAAAAAAAAAATCTTTACCTTAAATATATAATTGTCTGAAACGTACCTGACACTGAAATATGTACCCGAAATGGCCGATAAAGAGGTTGGTTGCTCTATAATTAATATTGTGACCTTATTCAACAATTTTTTCCATACATACTCATATGTAATTGAATACCAACCAGAGCGTACATTTTAAGCCTTTCTTTAGGTTTTTGGCCTTTTTATCCAGGCTGAAGAGTATATAATCCTTATCTTGCTAATATGATAAGAGTGTAGCCATATATTCTGAAATTATTGAAAGGCTTTTTGTTGTCATAATCTGAACAAAATCTTTTCAGTTTCCCCTTCAGTGTTCTTGCTGGGGTCTGCCGGTCACAGTTCGCCAAGTTCTGTAAAAGTGGCAGGAGTGACGCCGAGTGCGTCCCGCTAGTGGTCACGTGATCTGGTATCAGCCTCGGTTGTGGTGCGATGGTTTCACGATGAATATAAACGTTATCAAATATAGGATGGGGTTTAAAATTAAAATAAATAAATGTTTGAATCAATGTTATTGTGTGTAGAAACAATAACTTCCTTATCAATCTTAACGAGTATGGTATATTTACTTCAATAAACTGCCATGCAAAAGAAAGTATACACCCATGTTTGATGGTGGCTAAAATAATTAAAACACACACACAAAACAAAAAGAAATGTTTATTCTGTAGTGTTGTATTTGATACGAGTATCACAGGTTTGTTTTGGGGCCTCAAACTTGCAGTTGTTTTAAGCCTAGTTACGTTTTGATAAGCTCTGTACCTTTGGTCAAATCGAATTTTAAAGTCAGTGTGTATACTTTCGTTTTCCGGCAGTTAATATAAAGCGATGACCATAAAAACAAAAGCAATGTATGAAGTATCGTTTGTTAAAGACATACGTGAGTTATTGTTTTTTTTCGATTTCACCCATCAGTCATTTTTATACTGTGTTTTTTGTCGATAGCATCAGTGTCAATTCTGTGTTACAAAACAAATCTGCTCGTTTCTGAGATGAGTGTGCAGGTCCAGAGCATCTGTGTGCACGATAGCCTTGAAATGCAATCTGGTCAAATTACATTTCTCAAAGTCGTCTGGCGTGACCTTGATGTCACCTTGCTCAGTGCTCAGAGTCGTATTTCCTAGTGCCAAGCGTCACCTTATATGCTCATCCGTTCAAGCGCGGATAGTGCTTTTGGAAAAGTGGGAATGCACTTAGCGTACAATATGCATGATGAATCCATATAACTCGTGAAGAAAAATGCGTTTGGTAATAAGAAAATAACATTAATTATTTTCCTTGAAAGAATGTCACCTAAATCATTTCAAATATTATTAGTTATATCTTTAAAATGTTCAGTATGTATAAAAAGGGGTGGGGTGTATGTTCTGGAATTCTGCACCAACGTGGGGGTAATATGGCACGATTGTCCTTCCACGGTTGTTGTACAATGACGTTGTTTGACCCAAAAGTCGTAATCTGCACAGCCATTATAATCTCTTTGCATGAGGTGAGGTGAAATTGGGTTTAACGTCGCGTCCAAGATTATTGCACTTATATAGCGACGTGCAAGTACGTGTTTGTGTTTGTGTGGCTGCTTGTACTAGTCCGGACTGATGCCGATCTATATTGCTAGCTCACTGAGATACCATGCCGCAGTTTAACATGAATATCCCACTCAGACACAGTATACTGACTCCGAGCCGACCAGTCCTTGTTTTATCCCCTTAATGCCGAGCGCCAGACAAGGTAACAACAAGTACTACTTTTAACGTCTTTTGGTATGACGCGGCCGGGGATCGAACCCCGGACCTTGCGCTCTCCGGGCGGACTCTCTACCACTAGACCACGGAGGCGGTCCTCTTTGCATGAAGACACATCTACGCCATGAGGGAAGTTGCGGACAGTTTACTCCCTGATGCCAATTATTGAGTTAAAAGGGGCATTTTCTATTAGCGTTTACACAGTTAAAAAGGG